AGCTTGCTTACTTATTTAAGTTTCTTTAAAAAGTAGCCCTGCTTGATTTTCATTTAATACCGTAGAGTGTACGTATGCCCAGCTCTTTCTCTGTGTCACATCTTACAAATAACGAGGTCCGTTTTGCTGCCTTTTCAGAAGTTTTTAAATTGCAGTCAGTTTGTGGAGGGTAATGCAACTTTGTTGAAGGCAACTGGGTATCTTGAGTGTTTCCTTACTGTGACAAATCCCCCGTGGCAGCTGTTGACTTTGCAGAGTGCGTGGTGGCATCTCTAGCATGGCAGGAGTTGGCTGTGGGCCGTGCACCAGTTAAACACTGTGTTTGGCAGAGCACTTTGGTGGTAAATTAGTCAGGCTCTTCGGAGCCGGGTCTCAATCAGTATAATCCTTAAGCAAAATACTCACTCACAAGTGAAAAATACAGTGTTTCCTTGCTGAGCCTGGTGTCCCACTTGTTTCTGCCTGGTCCTAATCCCTCCAAGTGAAAACCTGGTGTTGGGTGAAACAAAGACCTGTGCTGATGTTCCTGAGTCTGTGTCCTTCAGTGGATAATGGTAACTTGATTTGGTAGTGGTAACTGATAATTTACCCTAATTGTAGGAGCTTGGTATTATTTGGTAATAAAAATTTTTAGAAAGAATCTGAAATAAAAACTCAAAGCTTCTGGGAATAGAATGAGTGTAACCTTGTTGAATTAACAATGTGGGCTGACGTTAGTGTAGAGAAGTCAACATTCAATATTTTCTTTATTCTGATGGTGATGAGGATTAAACGCTGAAGATATCCTGGAATATTATGGCTTGAACTCAAACAGAAGGCAATGACAGGTTTCTGGCTTCTAACAGTGGGCTTAAGCAATGGTTGCTACGTGATTAACCCCCTGCATGGCTAGACATGTAGAATTTCAGAATATTCTTGCAATTTTGAAGGGTTTACAGTTTACTGCCAGCACAGCTCTATTATTCCAGTGGAGAAAATCAGAGTCAGAACTGACTTTTGCAGAAACATCTACCAGACTTGTGTGTCTGTGCATGTGGTTGAAGGAGAATCAAGTTTTACATGGCCAGCGCAGTGTTGCTCTCGATGTCTGGTTGTGACAGATCCTGCTGTAGCTCTCGGTACATCAAATATAAGAAGACAGAAAACGGCCTCTCGGGCAAACAGTTACAGAGCAGAATTCCTTGGCTCAAGAGCACTGAAGCCAGAAGTTTCTTGGCGTTCTGACTGCATTCCTTTTCCAGTATGTGCTCAGAATAACTTGGGACTTTTTGGAGCAGAAGTGGGACAAAAGTTTGAATGTAGACAGAAAAGTCTATGCTCGGTTTAGCTGTTCAGCTGCAGCTTTGAAAATACGTTAGGTGTTTTCAAAGCACCGTATGTTTGTGCACTGTAATTCTTTTTTTCTGATTCAAATAATCCAGAAAGTCTGTTTTGGTTAATCAAAAGCAGATGCTATTTGTCATTTGTTCATTTTGAATGCTGCTCTTGTGTTGGGAGAGATGAAAAGTTTTGGTACAAGTTGGCATTACAATGTGAATGCATTTGACCTTTTTTGGTTCTCGTTGGTGCTTTGGTTTTGGCTTGGGAAAATGGGCCTTAATGAAAGCCACAGTCCTGTGCTATGCCCCAAATTTTAAACAGTTTTTCATTCAGTTCTGTGACTGAAAAGTGGCTTTGCTTTGGGTTCCAGATGGACTAAGATTTCTTTTGTAGTACAATAAACAAAACTGCCTCCTGAATTTGAGTTTGATTTATTTCAGTTGCAATTTTTAAATCTTCCACTAGAAATAATAAAGCTCCATGGTGGAATTATATCATATGAAAGAAGGCGTGGGGTTTAATCCAGTACCCTAACTTGATTTCAAACTGTATTGTCGTTGCAGCTGATAAAATCCAAAGTCTGCCTGATAAATGTAAAAAAGTTTAACATCTCAGTCATTAACATGAATTTTTTGTCCTGGGTCCTTGGAACTTCGTTTTGCTGATGGAGAGTCACTGCTTTTCCTTATCCCATTGGCAGGTACCAAAACCTGGGCAGCCAAAGACTTGCTTGATGCAATAACTAACTCCTGAGTTCAGGAAAAGCCCTGAAGTTCTGTAATAACAAATCTTCCTATTTGGTTCTGTCTGCAAAAAAGAGCCTTTTTGTGCATAAGGGAACCATTCTGCTCTTTCATCTGATGCTGTCACCCAGATGTATTTCAGTTCTTGGCTTCTGAGTAACTTCCTATTTTCTACATCTGGTGATGGATCATAAATCTTAAAACTCTGAATCAGCCTTCTGCAATGAATTTTTTAAAGTCATGTTTTGCAACTCACAAATTAACAAAGTGACTTGTGAAAACCAGTTGTCTTCTGGATGCTTGCCTGTTGGACATTTGGACCCCGTTCATGCACTTTCAAATGTTGGTTTGAACTTAGGGGAGCTGCTTAGTGCTTATTTAACTCAACATTCTCCTCAGGAAATGCCTCAGTTGCATTTGCTGGTGTTGCAGTACTGAAGCTGAACTTCACTCAGTGCTGAGGATCACCCGTACGTTGATGGCAGGCGCTTGCATCCCAGTGATGATTCCTTTGGTTACACGGCTTTATTTCTTCTATTCAAAGGTTTCCTTAGCGCGTATCAGATGAGAGCTCTGGCAGTGTCTGCCGTATTGCACCAGCTCTGGTCTCTGGTTTTGAGGTCAGAAGTGCTAAATAAAAGATGAAGAGGGAGGAGAGCTCATCCTCACTGGGTCATTTACCTGCACAAGGTATGGCTTGTATTGCACTGTGGTAAATGCCCACATTCCTCCCTCATAGTATAGTATATTCCTTCCTTTATAGTAAATGTGTAGTAGCTTTTCCACTGGAGGAAGTGAGGTGCTGTTACCACAGCATAACTCCTATGCTTTGGTTTAAGTAGCAATGTGGAAATTGCCATAAAACTTGAAGACTGAGCTCAGTTCTGAATCAAAGAGTTGTTTGTTACAGTGTGTGTGCCTGGGCAGTACAAAACACACGTTTTCCTTAGAGGAGATGAAGCGGTGTCTTTTTTCAATGTTGCTTTTCAAAGGAAGAGAAGATCTTGAACGTGGCAAAAACCGAAAGGGTAGATGAGTATAAAGCTACACTGCTATAATTTACCTGCAGGAAATGTCTGCTCCAGTGTAAACACGGTAATGTAGCTATAGTGAAAATCCTGAAATATAGGCTGCTATCTGCAGAGGTGGCATTGCGGTTAAATATTAACATCCATAAAAACATGAAGCTCTTGGAAGTAGTCTGCAGAGTGAAGGCTGTCTTTATTTAAGCATCTTGTGAAGGAGGAACACATTAATTCATGGAGTAGCTGGAATCCTTACAGCACTTACAGGCACAGGAGAAAACAATGAGTTGAAATAGTGTGAAGCAGAATGCCCAGGGTAACCAGACTCACTCTGTTTTATCCTTTCTGTAGATGCTTTTAGAATTTAGTCTCCTAAATGCTGGGAAGTCACGTACCAGCTTTTAAGACAACGTAGTGTCATTAATCTGCTGCAAATTTTGCTTTGCTTTCCAAAGATAAAGGAAGCAATTTGTAGTTTATGGCAGAAATAACTTATTTTTTCTTTCAAATCTTCATTAATGACTAAGCTTAGTTCCCTTGTGATGAGTTGGCTTTTTTCTTTCCTTTCCTCTTTCCCAGCCCCTCTTATCCTCTCTTCTTTAAAAACACTGCATCTCCACCAGTCAACGCTCAGGCCTTGTGGTCAACCCTTAACTCTTCTTCTAAATACCCTGTGCTTAGCGAACATAACTGGGTTTTGTCATTTCTGAGTGGTGCAGCTAGCGTATGGTACAATGGGGTTTGAAATGAACTAGGGAACAGTTAATAGCAATGAGGAAAGAATTAGCCAGGTTTTGAGAGCTGTACTGATTAAAATTGTTCTTGGAAGTACTCTAGTAATAATAATAAGCAAAATCCTTTGACACTTGTCTAACGTGAGAATATGTCGAGATAATCTGACATATACGGCTGTTTCGATCCTCTGAAAATTGGTTCAGTAGTTAAATTTTATAACAAGAGCCAAGATTTTGCTGGTCTAATTGTAGCCCACTAAGCCCTAAAATTTTCCAACTCAGCAATACATAGGTTATTGTCAGAGCAATCATGAGATGCATGCCATCACTGGGTGCCCTGGAGTGCCTTACTGTTGCTGTGTAATGGACCTTTGTTGTGGTAGGACAAAGACTTCTTGAGAAATTGCTCATAAAAAGTGGCTTTGGAATATGAATTTATTGTCAGTGAAGTCTCTATGTACTCACAGTTATGTCTTTCCTTACAACACCTGCAATACAATGAAGATTCGTAGTTCCTGGCTGTAGTTGGCTCGCTGTAGCACTGCACAGCGAGAGATACAAGCAGTAAACTGGAAGATGACTGAATTAATTAGCTATGCCTTGGAGAAGAAGGAAAAAAGAATAATAAAGAGCAAAGAATAATATTGGGGCTGGAAAACTGCCATCGAAAGGTGTGGCTGCTCAGACTAATACGATTGCCCTTTCTCGGCTGTTAAGAGCAGTTGGGTCATCTGAAGTGTGAGAGAACTTATTTTGTTGTCTGAAGTCTTGTTTGGATACATTTTGTGAGCAGCTGTTAAGAGGAGATGACAAATAAATAGATTAGCTGACTTCAGAAATGTGCAGATTTCACTGTCATAAAACCTTTGTTACATCTACAGCAAAAAAACCCCAAACATTGGAAAGTGCAGATATTAAAATAAAAGAAATAAAATAAAATGCAGAAGTCCACGCATACCTTCCTAGTATGTGGAGTGTATTTAAATACTGTAGGATGCTCATTTGTGTGTTATATGGAGATGCCTCCAGGCTGTCTGGTCTGGGTGCATCAGTTGGACTTAGAGAGCAAAGGGCTGTTCCTGCAGGATGGTGCAGGTTTGACTGGGTGAGTATGTGGTGTGAGGACTGTACAGGCTGTAAACCCCAGGAATTGTTACCAAACCTGTCTTTATTTAAAGGTCTTGAGCACGTGTAGATGGCACAGTCCTACCTCCTCATTAACGATCCGTTCTCTTCTGCAGGCTGGCAGTGATGGTGAAAGCATAGGAAATTGTCCGTTTTCTCAGAGGCTCTTCATGATCCTTTGGCTGAAGGGAGTGGTGTTCAGTGTCACAACAGTTGACCTGAAGAGGTAAGAAATAATTTGGTTTATCTCATGTGCAAGAGTACAGTGCACTTGGTGTAACAAATGTTTGTCTGGGACTTCTACATCTTGCGTGGCTTATTTTCTGAAATTGGGAAGAAGATCTGTCCTCATAAATACTGAAAGGCAACCTTGATGAAAACAGCGCATTCATTGATGGTTATCTGTAAGTGTGTGTGAGCAAAAAGAATGGGTCTGATAGGTTCTTTTGAATTTCCTAGACGATGGTTTTCTCCTGTAAAACTGATAGCTGACACGAAGTCTCTTAGAACTGAATACTGAATCTTACCAACCTCACAGTGAGGTCCTGCAAGTGCACACTACTGGATTGGGTATTTTAGATCAACCGATCTTTGATCAAATCCCCAAAGATTATTGGGTAACTCACAAATAATGTGCAGCCTACTCTTTTTAAAGATTTTAAGATAATATTGCTTAATACGCAAGAAGAATAAAAACAATGTGAAAGTATCTACACGTGAGGTAAATACAAGTGAAAGAGCTGTGAAACGGGCAGGAATAAAAAGTGAAAAGTTCTGCTTTTGTATCGTGTTAGCCAGATGTGGCCTGATGCTGTGTGCCACCTAAATTGTAACTTCTGTCTGTGAAATGAATATCTTAGTGGCTAAGAAGGGCGAGATGCGAATCCAGGAGTCTTAAATCTGCTAAGGTTGGGTGTACTTTTATTAGAAATGGTAATGCTAAATTCAGCAGAGGCCTTGTATTTGTTTTTGGTGTGAAGTAATGTTTTCACAGCACTAATGTAACGTAACGTTAGTCACGGAACTCTCTGGAGAGAGGGGGGAGGCTGCCAGTGCTTACAAACCTTATTTTCAGAAACAAAGCCAACAGAAATACACAGTGTTCTCCAACGAATCAAGTGTAAAATGTGTAAGAAAGAAATCGCCCTGCTAGGCTTAACCTCTTCTTGTGATTTTATTGAAGGAGGTGACTTGTTTTGATTTGTAGAAATCACTGAATTTGCTGCTTCAGTGCTGGCAACGGGTGCTAAGTGTTTCCATGTGTAGTAAGGCTGAGGCCGACCACTCAAGCAGAGGGGGGAAAAAGCAGCTTTTGTCAAGTGTGAGTGCGTTTGTAGCAGCTCAAAGATCTCTGCCCAATGTGGGATTTTACTGCAAGTGTAATTCTTGCTGCCAGCACACATAAACCAAATATATCAGATCTTCCGTTTAGCACTGCATGTGGTTTGTGGAAACCTCAGGAGTAGAACTGGTGCTTGCGTACTGGTTGTAGTGTTGGGCTTCCTTTACTTTTAATGGGGGTGTTATTTAACCTATTGCTGTTATTAGAGAGGATGAGAAGGAGGCTAAAAGAGACATTTCATATTTGGAAGCTTCTTTACTGCTGAATCAGTCAGAGAAATGTCATTAAAATGCCACGGATGCCTGATGAATTGGCTTTATTTGTGTCCCTTTGGCAACTTCAAGTTAATTGGATGGGGAATGGGATGTGAGTCTAACTTCTAGAATAGCAATTGGATGCACATGTTTAAGATTGTCCCTTCTTACACAAGGAAAGCTTTCAGTTTTTTATATTGAGGAGGGGAAAACACAAAATAAGTGCAAAATTTAAGAACTGCAAAGGAATAGGCCAAATTAACTCTACTTTTTGTGTGTGTGTGTGCACTGAATGGATTTTCTGGTAAAGCAAAAGAAGGACCACTGAAGGTAATTCAGATGTGAACAGATGTTGATACAAACTTAATTCCATTTAGACTTTATTTAAAGCTTCCTAAGCTCAAATTTAACTTTCTGGATTGTCTAATACCTACTTGTAGAGTAATGTAGGTTGCAGAATGTCAAACCCAGTAACTGCTCAAGTGGAAATGTTTTCTACCAGATGGTGCTTTTTCCCCTGTTAGTATTACCAGAATGATAATAGGCACTAGATTTTTCCTTAATACTTCTAATACTGTCACAAGAAACTGCTTTTACAAGTACATTATTCAAGCCAATTACCCTCTTCTTGTTCCTGTTTAAGACACAAGCTTCTTGAAGAGGAGAGGGATGGTTTTAAGCATCTGAATTGATTTTGCTAGCCAAAAAAAAGAGAAGAAGTTCACTTGCAAACCATGCTTCTGCCTCGTAGTGTAATTTCTGCACAACAGTAAAGCAAGCTCTGATGTTTGTGAGGCTTGAAAGGTCACGGTTGGGTACAAAAGTTCGCAAGTAACTTGGGGCAGGAAAAACTGAGTCTGATCTGCCTGACTGAGGCGTGTGTTTTTCCCTTCCATAACTGCTCTGGACATCACACTGCGCTAACAAAAGGACATTTTGCAGTTCTCTGTCCTGCTCTTAAGGCACAAGAATATGCACATAGGCAAACAAAGTGGGACGGAGCGCCCTTTCAGAGAAATGGTGCATTTCTTGCTTCTGTTCAGTCAGACAGAGGCTTTATTCTTCCCTTTTCAGAAGCAGCGTTTCAGTGCTCGGAGCTTTGGCTTGTGCTGGTAACTGGAGCAGAGTCGCTGTACGTAAACCATTTGCTGGGCTTGTAACAACACTCAGGGCCGGCTTGCGTTCAGTGAAGTTTTGAAATCCGATTTTAAACGTCTTGATTGTGTGGTTTTACAATTATGTTGACAGACAAAGATGAAATAAAGAGATTAGTAAATATTAAAGACTGCCCAGAGGTGAATGCAGCTTCAGCAGTGTAAAACACTGCCTAGGAACTGGAGACAGGCTTGTTTTATTGCTGGCACTTTATTTTCACGTTACTCCTCAGATGCTCATTGCAGTACTTGGGTAATAAATCTCTGTAGAGCATCCTGCATTTGGGGGCACCTTTTGTCTGATCTTCAAGAAATTACTTGAATGCTAATTGCTATTCTGGTTTCTGGCAAAGCTGTGAGATGTTTATACACCTTACCTCTGGTGTTGAAGAGCCTGCCCGCTTAGCTGGTGATAGCCAAATATTTAAATATGTGGGCCTACCTCCAAATACCCTGGTAAACTTTGGGGCAGGTACCCCAGAGATACCCAGCTGGCTATTTCAGCTATTAGTGAATTATTTTGAGTGGTTACTGAAGCTTTTTTAAAAACAAACCAACCAACTTGTGTTTATGGGCACAAGCCGGAACACAGGAGGTTCCACTTCAATTGGAGAAGAAACTTCTTCTCAGTGAGGGTGACAGAGCCCTGGCCCAGGCTGCCCAGAGAGGTTGTGGAGTCTCCTTCTCTGCAGACATTCAAAACCCGCCTGGACGCCTTCCTGTGTAACCTCATCTGGTGTTCCTGCTCCGGCAGGGGGATTGGACTGGATGAGCTTTGGAGGTCCCTTCCAATCCTTGATGTTCTGTGTTCTGTGAACTCAAACAACAAAAAATCCGGAACCAAACTGGATGTCTTGTCCAGTTCTATCTCTGAAGTCAATGTAACTATAATATTTTAATTGCCTCGTTTGGCTATTAAGTTGTACTCTTAGCCTTTTAAGGATGTTCCTGTGTACTCTTGTGCTCTAATGGCTGTGGCTTGTACGTGGTAAACCAGGGTTTGGTTGTGATCTGCTGGCAAGGGTAGCAAAGTGGAAGTCAAACCCTGCGTTGTGTTTGGGCTTTGGCTGTGGGGTGTTAATCTCTGCTTGCTTTTTCTTGCAAGATGCAGGTGGTCTGGGTGCAGTGGCAAGAGGGGTCAATAAAATGCTCTGGGACCCTTGAGATGCACTCTGGTTCTTGGAGAACTTTTTTGGTTAGTTCAATAGATTAGTCTGTTTGTGAAATGAAATCTTTCCTCTGATAGCATTACTGCAGATCCGGTGGTCCTGCCTGTGTTTGTTTTCCAAATAACATTCCTTATGAGGAATTTTATCTGGCCAACATGTGAAATGGGAAGGGAGCCACAATGACTTCCTGTAATTGTTGTGGGTTACAAAGCTGTATTAAAATGAAGTGTTAAGCTACTTAAAGCATTAACTGATGACAGACTTTAAATCCTAAAAGTAAGAAGGCGATGGCAACCATTAATGAGAAATAACTTCTTGGAAGCTTAAAAATTAAAAAAGGTTCAATTCTTGTATTAACAAGATTTGTCACCTGGCTTAAAGCAGAGTGTTTAATGTTTTGAAGTACGAAAATCTGTGTTTTCATTCAGGTTTACATACACAAGTGCTTCTGTATGTTGTAGGTACACTTTGGTGCTATGTACTGTTAGTGTTTGCCCTGCTTAAAAGGTTCAGCAATGGATATGAAATTCTGGTAGGGGTTCTTCATATTGTAAGAAATGGAAAGCAACATTTCTATAGGATAAACTTATAAAGTGTGCTTAGTTTTGAGTCTGTGTGCTACCCCTGCAGACGCTGCTTTCTCATGCTACCCCAAATGGCCATGTCTGTGTTACTTACCTCGTTTCACTGTCCAGTGCAGTCAGGAGCCTTTCTTGAACTGCAGTTCCAGTAAACCCAGTTCCTGGTGCTGGCTCAGAAACGTGGCCGTGTCGTACAAAGCACAGCCCCAGTTCAAGGGTTAGGGTCTGGTTTGGATTTGTTCAAACAGTAACAAAGGGGCAACTTTATCTTGGCAGACTTCTCTGCTGGATCAGGCCTTGTTTGTTGTTCCTTGTTATAACGCTAGCAAAAGGTGGTGGTCACTCGTAGCGCGTGTGCTGGCCAACTTGACAGAAATGTAATTGTGCAGTTGTGTGCAAACATCTGGATCGTGTGTGCTGTCCTGTGCCAGCACGCAGGGTGGTCTGAAGTACTGGGAATTGCAGGCTGTCCTCTAAAACATGGAGAGCTTCTTCAGGAAGCCAGGTAGACTGCGGCCTTCTGAGCCATCATCCTGGACTGAGGTCAATAGCTCCATCAAGGGAAGGTTTAAGTGCTGCTACTGAACGAGTGCCAAGCAGCACTCTTAATTTTATTTCTGCTTGCACTGAGACAGTTGCCTTGGCATGGGAGTAACTAATACCATGATGATTTACTGGGGAAAAATTGGCTGCAGCTTTTTGGATGATGCTTTGGGTTTTATAGCTTGTAATGAATCCACATCTCATTATTGACTTCAGATTTGCATCTGAATCCCCTGACGAGGCAGATGGGAGAGCTTTACATTAAAGAGTAGGTTAGGCATTTTGAGGTGAATAAGTAGGTAGGTGTATATGCCCAGCTGATGTACAGGCTTGTAAATAAATGCCTGCAGTGTTGTTCCTTGTCACTACAGCGTCAAGGCACAGCCAGAGGAGAGAGAAGCCAATTGCTTATAAAATAGAGTGGCTTAGCTCGCTAAGGATCAGTATGAAAGGAGCTGGAGTGAATAGCGAGAGGTATTGCCAAAACTGACTTCATATTTAGAGATGTCTGAGTATTTCAGCTTGATTCTGTTTCTCTTGTCTCTGTTCGTGCTGATGGCAGGGATTCTCCTCCCTTTGCCCGAGTGCTGCTCTTATTTGGAAATAGTTTTTTTTCACTGGAGCAAGCTTTAAGCATCGTTTTTAAACGTGATGTTTAAGCATCTGTCAGCTTGTCTGGAACCACATTCTGTGTGCACATAATAAATGGTTTCTATGTACTGCTCTATCTCAGCCTTGCTTATTTCCAGAGAAGCTCTGTGTAAAGGAGGAGGATTATCACTGATCACAGCTTACGCTATATATAAACTCTGTACTGCAGGTCTTGGGAAAGACTGTGTGTGTGGGGAGTGTGTGTGTATATGTGTGTGTATATATATATATCCTCCTGCTAGTCAACATTATATCAACACGAGAAAAAACATAGCCAGTGGTAGTGGTATTTTTAAGTATTTGAAATGGGTTGCTATCAAGTACATATTAAAAATGCTGATCAAGCTGTAAACTCACCTTTAAAAAAGCAAATGGGTGATATCTTTTTAAAACTGCAAGGATGCAAAAGCCTCAGGCGGTGCCTTTGTGATCATAGCAGTGAAAGCTGGGGTCATGGATGTCCCGTGCTTAATTTTGTATTGGTTTGTATTTTACCCTAGAAAACCAGCAGACCTTCAAAATTTGGCCCCAGGCACTCATCCACCCTTCATAACTTACAATGGTGAAGTGAAAACAGATGTGAATAAGATTGAAGAGTTCCTGGAAGATGTTTTGGCTCCACCCAAGTAAGTGTTAAAATGATCATTTGTCGCCTTAGATTGGATGGAGAGTTCTCAGAGGGCTTTTCTGCACTAATTAAATGTTCCTAGCATCGATAAGCTGAAGATTAGACATTACAAATAGCTTGGAGTTCTTGCTTTTGTGCCTTTTCTTACTTCATGTAAGAGACAGGTCCACATTAATCTGAGAATGGATCAACTGGTAAATGTACATGATACAGAACCCTCTTTTAGTGCTAGTTAATATATGATGAGCATCCTTCTGCTGAATGTGCTGTAGATCTACTCCTTTCTACTTTTTAGGTACCTGAAACTTTCACCAAAGCATCCAGAATCAAACACTGCTGGAATGGATATATTTGCCAAATTTTCTGCATTTATCAAAAATTCTAGACCAGAAGCTAATGAAGGTAGGTTACCTCGTGTTTTTTCAGAGCAATTTTACTGTGGCACATCTCACTGACAAATTTTGCTGCATGTTGGTGGACACGTGAGGGAGTCTCATGAATTAAAGCTGTGGTTTAAAGTTAATGGTCAGAAACAAAGAGTTCAACACTTTCAAAGAGAGCTTCAATTAGATGATGCTCAATCAGAATTTTAGTCGTGTGTGCATGGTTTGTAAACATCCCTGGCACTGAAACTTCTCTGAGCAACAGCCACTCAGGGCTCTTGAACTAAGTAGAAGTGATTTTAACATCCAGAACCAAATTCCACGCAGAGTTTGTGTCGTGCTCCAGGGGTTGAGCTTCCACACATTTCTGCACGCTTCGTTGTTTGACCTGTCTAGGATTGAGGGCTCCCATTCCGAGATCTGAGTTAAGCTGAGTTTGTGTTGCTTTCTTTGAAGGATTAAGACCTTTAGGTAAGAGATCAATAAGAGATAAAGAATGAACAATTAGACCTTTAAATAGTTTAATGCCATTCTTTGGTCCTCATAGTGCTTGGAGGGAAAACCTGAGTCAGGAAATCAGGATGCCTTTCTGCTGTATTTCAAATGGAGAGATGCAAAATGTTTGTAAACAGCTGAGAAATACTTTTTGATTTCGTGGGGTGTGCTGCCCTCTGCTGCTGTATTCATCAATCTCCTTGGCAGTGTGTGCTGAGTCGTGGCTGCTCGCTGAGCATGTGACATTAAACAGATTACGTCTGAATGAATATAAACCCTAGCATAGCTTAATTCTAATTAGTTTAAGCCAGTTAGGTGTAGTCTTAAGAAACTGGCATAAGCCACTTTTTAAACCAAAAATAAACGCTTGTGGACAGTCTTAGAGTCTTTTAAATGACTGTGAACGCATACATAAACTGACTTGCAAATAACCTGCATCTCTGTGATATTTAAAGGGATTCTAGTTCAGTTTCAGTGTTGCTGTGACCATGAAGGTAGCTCCAGCAGTAGCGTTGCCATAAAAATGGTACAAGTGTTAAAAATCCTTCAATACACGGTCTGATCTGGGTAGTACAGGGATGTGGATTTTGTTTTTCAGCTCTGGTTTTGATATTCAAAATAATAATTTGCTTTAATTTGTGTGCTGTGCCTTGGCTTTCTGTTTTCGTTCTTAAAAGTGTTCCTTCCTCTGTAGCCTTAGAACGTGGCCTCTTGAAAACCCTCCAGAAACTGGACGAGTATCTGAACTCTCCTCTCCCTGATGAGATAGATGAAAATAGCATGGAGGATATTACAGTTTCTACCCGCAAGTTTTTGGATGGCAATGAGATGACATTAGCAGACTGCAACCTGCTACCCAAACTGCACATTGTCAAGGTACGTGACCTGTGTGTTAAGTGATAACGAAGGACAAAATGCTCATGGTTTATGACATTCAGGAGTCCATCTAATTTCAGCTGTTTGTAAGCTCTCATTTAAGCTTAACTACAGTATTAACAGCACATTAAATTGCATAAGATCTGGGTAATTCACAGGGCTTTAGGGATAGAGCAGTTGAATTCAGTGAGGAAAAAGTCCAAAGGCTAAAAAGAGGTACTTCAGGATAACTACAGGAGTGAAGATGCGCCTATATAATCGTGGTTTGATTTTCTTTTCACTGTCTCCAGTGATCTCTGACAGTTTTGTACTGCAGATGGAGCCACAGATTAAGTTTCTGCCTGGGTGCAGAAGTATTTACTTTGGTGAGGACGGCAACGCAGACTGAGCGAGGCAGAACACTGCCAGGCCCAGGCACATCCCAGAGGGGCAGGTTCTGCGGACTTTAGAAGTGACGCTGAGCGTACGTGTGGAAGAATAGGGAAAAGTGGTTTAAGATGAAAGATGTAAATTCATAATCTGATTTTTTTTTGTTGTTGTTTTGTTCTAGGTGGTGGCCAAAAAATACCGCAACTTTGAGATTCCGAAGGAAATGACGGGGATTTGGAGATACCTGACGAATGCTTACAGCAGGGATGAATTCACCAACACCTGTCCTGGAGACAAAGAAATCGAAATAGCTTACAGTGATGTAGCCAAGAGACTCACTAAGTAACCAGCACTTGCAAAAGAGATGACTTCTTGCATATTCCATAACAATGCTTCTAACAGACTGCTCTTTTCATATAAGATAGCAATTTTTTTTGCATGAACTTGCAGTTATTCAAAGTTATGGTGGATAGACCAGGTACAGTAATTACCTAAAGTTTGCAGACTTAATTATAGGCTTGTTTTTTCTTACCTCCTTTCACAGCGAGTTTGAATATCATTAATGCAGTTATGTTAATACTGCACTGGGGTAACTCTAGATTCTTCACTAGGAAGGGTTATCACGCCCCTACTATTTTTCTGTTGCAAACATTTGGTCCCTGTCTATGAATTGGTGTAGGATACTGTCTTGCTGTATGGTACAAGGGATATTTATGTATTTTGGAATTTGTCGCTTTTCCAGAAGATCTATACACAGTTGTATCTGTGACACGTCGAACTGTACCTGCTTGTCTATCCTATTTACCTATAGAAGGGAGCTTATTATCCAAAAGAGCCATTTGCAAAATATTTGGCAATGTTTTTAGAACAATTTGTGTTGGGTTTGTAATCACAGCAATGGTTGAGAAGGGACTCAAATCTGAAACTTGGATTTGAAGGATCAAAGACATCCCTCAGACATCGGGGAGGTTTGACTCGAGGCTTGAGTGCTATAGCAGGAAGCTCACAGTTCAGAGTTAGTATTTAGTTGTGTCTCCAAGAGCTTGATGAGATTTAAAGAAACAATTTTTCTTTTAAATTGGCAACTTACGTTTGTCCCAAATTCTGAGTTGCAGCTAAGGATTAATTATCAGGATGCCTTTTACCATCACCGAACCAGAAGAATTGGATGCTTGCCGTCTGTTCACCTTAAAAATTGCAAGTGGCTTTCTTTTTGGTAGTTAAGAGCCTTTATTTTGTATAGGTCTTTCTGGTGAGATTTACTTAACAAAATCTGTGCTGTCATAAGCAAAATACCTGTCAACATTAGTGTCCCAGTTGGTAAATAGCTACTGTACGTGGTGAATAGCAGTGCAATGATTAGCGATGCAAGACTGAACGCTGACAGCTGGTAAAGTGGGAGTCTTTCTGGGGACTTTTTTTTAAGCTGTTTCTTTCCTGAAGAAAGCTAAAGTGACCTTTAAAGAGAACATTTGCCTTAAATCATAGTATGTGGGGGTTTTTTTTTCCTGAAAGGAAATCTATTAATTACTCTTGTAAGGAAATGGTGCGTGAAATCCCGTCCTTTACGTTGAATTGATCCGAATTGCTTGTCTGTGCACCTGGACTGCAATTTTGCATAACCATAATCATTGCACTACTATACGTAATCTTTTTACAGCAACACTGAGGAATAGCACTACGATTTTTTTAATGGCAACTTTCAAATATTTCTAAACCAGGGAATAGTTTTCTTGTTTCAAAGGAATGATTTTGATGCATGAAGTAAACCGCTAGGTTATTTTTAAAAGACCATCATAAACAACTCCAAAGAATGCTAGACTTAAATGCCTATTTTTTTGTAAAGATACTTTTATATGTAACTGATTTTAGAAGCTGGAAAGTGCTATTCCTGGTAGGTTGTTCTTGGAATATTTAACATTCTGCAATAACACGGAAATGCTCCCGTAAACACTTTTGTACACTAATTTTTTTGGTAAGCACAGGCTTTATGAAAACCAGCCTGACTTTTCTAAGCATCCTGCTTTTGCTACTTTATATACCCGTGACGTTAGTTTGATGTAGAAGAGGTAGAGTACAAGATCCATATTTGTATAGATGGCTTGTGGTGCCTTGTCTTGCCTTCTTGCCTAGAGCTAGAATTCCAATATAAAGGCAGTTAGCAATCCTGTTACATGTCTTTCAAAGACAACCATAGATACACTTAGACCCTATTATCATTTTTTACAGGGGTGCTTAGGCACAGAAAGAAAATTCTGCAGAGCGACCTGGTTAGGAAAAACTTAACTGTAGCCTTTTAATAATTACTGTATTCTAATGTCACGTTCTCATCCTGAATAAAGCTTCTCAGCCATAATAATCCTCTGTAGGGTTCAGTCTTTGCTACAACGTGACATCTAGAAAAAGGAATAACTTCCTTTTTTCATAGATAGCAACGTTTTTAATGGCCCATATGGTAAAGCAAACCAAACTGACCCTCATTGGTTTGGTGCTGTTTGCCATTGTATAGTTAACCATGAAAAAAAACACAAAAACTATAGGAAGCAATGTGATTGTGGGCATAGCTTTGTTCAGTTTTTAATTCTACTTTAAAACCTAGATCAGGGTGGCCCTTGGAAGCCGTCTGAGGTTGTAGTGATGGGGCCACGCTCCTTTCAAAAGCAAATTAGCCATTGCGTGCACACTTCAGAACATCAGGCAATTATGTGCATATGAGCATGAAAAAGCTTTCATGCCATTTTTGAGCGTGCACGCTGCCTGCATATCAATGCACACAAATCCTCCACTTGTTAAAGTACCGGGCTTCTTGTCTTTTATAGTTAATATATTCTCTTTACTTTTTAGGCAATCTTCAAACAATTGTAATACGTTCTACTCAGCATTAAGTATTTTAATGATTGTGTCTCAAAGCTTGTAAACAAAGTGAAGCTCTTGCTGTAACTAATGTCTTTCTTATCTCAGTACAACAGAGTACTGAGCCGGAGCCTTTCCCTTGTAGGTGTAATTCAAATGAGGACCAGGGTAGTAATTTAAGGCGGTTACGTTATAGCTGTTAACTGTCCTGTGTGCAAGGACTTGGTATCTTTTAGGCTTCCTATTGCAGAGTTTGCTGGTGGCAGGAGCTGCCCGGCCCCTCGCCGGCTCCAGCAGAGACCGGGGATCCAGCGGGGAGCGCAGCCTTCACCTCTGCGGGTGAGCCCTTCCGAGCAGCCGAGCGTAGCTGGGGTGGCGCGTAAAACATCTCGGCGTCTGGTGTGGGTAGAGCGCTTTCATCTGGCCCCAATCACCAGCGCTACATTAATTAAAAAAAAAAAAAGCCCTTTCATAACTATGTAAATTCTTGACTTCTGTCAACTTGTTTACAATCTGATCTTTAAATGCATTTTTAATTTCATCAAACAGCAATTAATCTACCCCCTGTTTAAATTTAAAATGATGCTTCTAGCCCCTTCTACAATTTAAAAACAGCAGTTACCCTTTCAAGTAGGCATTCCAGTTTGCAAGTTGGTTGCATGTATTAGCATGCTGAATAACTTACTTTATTCTCAAGCTGAAATATGCTTAAATTCCCATTAAAACAGGTGACTTGTGTACTTCCTGAACATAAAGGGAAAAATCCATCATCTTCACCCTGGTTTTGTGTGGGAGAAGAGATTATACTATATGCATGATTTTTTTTTTCTTCTTCTCTTAACAAAGCTTTCCTTCTTGAAGAGATTCCCTCTGTGTAAGAGCTGCCTGTTGAACGAGAGGCATGTGAATTGGGAAACAATTTCATGCACTCCAGAGCTTTCCTGTCCATCTCCTGTTCACTGCTGGTCTGTGGAAGGGTCCTACCCGGGCACTCACAGCCGTGGCGCTTGTACGTTTGCATTTTCCCATAAAATTGGTGGTTTTTCTGCAACGGGCATGTCTAAACCGATTGAGAGTTGCGTGCAGTTCCATGATAAGAAGAGAGATGTAATCAAGTTTTTATGCTAAAGTAGCAAATTAGCATTTGGTATCAAAGGAACACAGACATGAATAAATTGAAGATGCTTGAGCCAAACCCACTGATGCCTATCTCAGTGTAGAACAAAAAGTGGCGAAGTGCAGTCAACTTTTTTATACTCTTTGCCACTCAGAGTGCGATCTGAACGCATCCCATGAATATATTCAGAAGAAGGCTTTATCCCAAGTGAAACACGTTTAATCTGCCTCAGAACCTGTGCCACCAACCATTACGTTTTGTTTCTAGAGGGGGTGTGGGGGGGGAAAGGGAGAAGAGTGGAGCAAAATTGGGATATCGAGACTCCCAAAACAGGACCTGGAGAATTGGAGCATTGTTTGCAGAAATACTTGAAGAGTTGATACAATTTATTGTAGTTTGCTTATGTCTTTCACTCTCTGGAACATCTTTTACAGATATACCAGTATACTGCTGGCAGCTATTGTTAAAAATAAAATTATATTTTCACTACCAAGCAGATCTTTCTCTCATTTCTCTGGACTACAGTTCCTGTAGGTGTAAGCTGTGACCTGAATGTGTTGTGCTCAACTACAGAACAAAACTTCGTGGTAACTATATCCTCAAATTTTGCCCTTTTGTTTGGTTTTCAGTGGCTTATGATTCAAGGCAGAATACGTGTTGTTTCTAACACTATAACTTGGTGTTGTGCCCCTTAAAGCGAAGAACTTATTTAAAGAATGAGTTGAGGAATGACTTCTACAGAAACTGTGAAAAGTTTTCTTAGATTTTTTTTAAGTGGAAACTCTTAAGAACATAGAATTTGGTAACTTCTTTTTCTGTGGAAATGGATGAAAAAAACCATCAAAACGTTTGCTTACGTTTGGTTCAACTTGTTCCCGCTCAGATAATCCACTACAAATAGCAGTTTGTGTTCAGATTGAGTTGATCCCCTCTACAGAATTAATGGATTTCAGTCTCAGTGCTCTTATTCTGAGTTTCAGCCGTGTTTTCTCACTGTCTTTTGCTTTCAGATGCGTCTCGGCCGTGGTAAACACCGTACACCCTTGCTTTTAATTAGAGTATGTTAACTAAGTACCAGGGCTTCAAAGACCACCAGCCACCGGTGGAAGTTTTGATGAAAACTTCCTCAGCTTTATCACGTCAATCTCTCGTCTGTCTCCTGAGTGTTTGAGGTGTATCCGGGGCCTGATTTTTGGTTTTGAAAGGAAATTTGTGGAATCCCGAAGACATTCCTGCAGCTGTAATCTGGGGTGCCATCATCCGAGTCTGAATTTACAGGGAAGTAACAGCCACGCTTGAAGTAGCAGCAAATCCAGCAATTAAACCCTTGGTAGAGTTACATACTGGTATCATTGTTACTTTACTGACCGCGGGGTATGTGATCAGAGGTGGGTTTTGCAGTAAGGTTTGCAGCAGCCTTGTTTGAGTTTGGGCACGTACATCCATGAAATGCATCGGGGTGGACCAGAGGGGAGCATAACCCCCTCTTCATGAGAAGAGCACGCGAAAGGGAATAGTGTTGAGCTGTAAAGGTGATT